TACCTGGAACGATACTCCAGCCTGTGTGGAAAGCCAAGCGAGTGGAATTGGAAAGCCAAGGGAAATTCTAAGTAAAAAGGAACGAAGACCCCGTATAAGTGCACTATTGCACAACAATAATTAAAATAGTTTTCTTTTTTAATTACAATAAAAATAAAGCAGTTGACAAGTGTGTATGGTATATTGGCGGTGGATATATAAGTGTAAAATAATCTTACTAATGTTGTAAGCTAATTGTTTACAGGATACTGCTGACCGTGAGTCTTAATAACCACTAACTATTTATTCTCCAAAATGCCCAAGTGTTTTTCTTGTAATAAAACTTTTAAAGACCGGCAAGCATTGGGTAATCATATTAGAAAACATCTAGATGATAGTGATGATGATTTACCTTTTCCAAACCAAACAATTTCTCAAATTTCATCTAAAAAAACAACCAAAGTTAATGATAAAAGCATGTCCGGAAGGCAAAATATGTTTGAAGAAACTGAAATAAATGATATTCCAGAGAAGGATAACTTTAATATTGACAAGTCTAATAAAATGCTAAATCTTGATATTTTACTTGTCAATCATACAAATTCCTCTCAAAGTCATGATGAATCTATCGAAGAACAGGATGCTGAATTTTTTAATGCAAGTGATTTCTACAGTAGCAACACATCTGATGATAAATCCGGAGTATCTGATTCAAGCACTTCTCACAGCAGCAACACATCCGATAATGAATTCACAGTATCTGATTTATCAGACATAATGAATATCGATATTAATGAATATTCTGAATATAATAATTTAATTTCTGGAAAACCAACGGGTCCTTAAGATATATATCAAGAATTTCCGTCAGAGAAATATAAAGAATTTATGAACATAATGACACATTTTCATATACAAGATCTACTTGCAAATGTATTTATAAGATTCTTTAACAAATATTCAAATCGTAATGATTATCCCTTACTATTGACGTTGCAAACTGAGCAGGTGTTCATTGAAAATCTTAACCTTCCAAACTTTAGTTGGAGAAAAGAAGTTATTTTTAAATACAAAGAGTTAGAATATGTACTAGAGTTTAGGACAGTACTTGATAGAATTCATCAAATATTATTAAATAGAAATATCACTGAAGAGTTTATATTCGAATATAAGTCATCTAAAGATAATATAAATGAATATTAAACATAATAATAATATGATAGAGAAAACCTGCGATGGAAACCTACGAAAGTAGCTCGTTATTGATGCAGAGCACTATCTAAAATAGTAACTAACCTATCACTAACCCTAACTATACTTGCTGGCCAAACCTGGACAAATCCCAAACTCCTAAAAAATAATTGCTATTTATAAAAAATTAAATCAAACAAATAATTCCAAAATTTTATAAGTATATCATCTATAGCTATAAGAATATACTTGATTT